CAGGATTGGACACTTGGATGCCAAGGACTCGGGGTGTGGCTCTGGATTTCCTCTTGAGATGTTTCACAACATGTGTCTTGTTTTTGTTTTGGGTTTGGGGTCACACCCAGCAGTACTCAGGGGTTAATCCCAGCTCTGCTCTCAGGAACCACTCCTGGCGGTGCTTGGGGGGAGGGGGGGCATATGGCATGCCGAGGATTGAACACTGGTCCATTGAACCCTGGTCTGAACCCTGGTCGGCCGAGTGCAAGGCGAGCGCCCTACCCACTGTACTGCTGTTTCTCCTACTCCACGTGTCTCTTTTGGTGTCTTATTTATCAGATTTTACGCCCTCACACTGTAATTGACCATTTATTATTAATTGTAGTGTTAGGAAAACAGAGTTCTAGAGTCTTTACTGACATGACCCTTTGCTAAGTATTTCGTGTGATTATTTTGCTTAATTTTTCTTTCTAATTACATAATGTAATATTTTTCTCTTGCAGTTTATTTCAAAGTTTAGAACATTCCAAGTTTAGAACATTTTGTTTTGGTCTTTAACATTTGTCAAAAAGTCAGCCTTGTTATTTGAACAGGACGGCTTTGCTTGATTATATTACACATGGGGAAAACAGTATTTTCTAAGTGGAAATGAACTTTTATTTTTTGTAATAGGCTCTTCCAGTGAGATAGATCTTTTAACATGGAGGAATCATTTTTACATCTAAATAGTTTTGTATTCGGTCATGTGATATGGAGAAAATATTTTCTCACTGGGAAATTAGGTACGGTAACAGTTTTTTTAAAAATAGCGTACTACTTCAGTATTCTTTCTGATTTCATCTGGTTTTCAACTCAAACCGGATTAGGAAATTTTTGTTTCAGACTTAAAAGTGACAATGTCTAACAGCTGCTCACATTTCCTTTTCATACATTTCATAGTCGGACAGGAATCCAGGCCTGAGTATTACCAAGGGTCTTCTGTTACACATTCTGCATACATGTGAGTTCCATGGTGATGAGCGCATGCCTCCACACATGTGCCGAGCCGTAGCGGGCAGAGACTGGAAGGAGCCGTGTGAGGGCTCTGTTCTTGTTAGCAGCAGATCTGGTTGGTTTGACATGTGCCGTGCACATCTGCAGGGCTTCAGCAATTGGCTCTGCCGCCGTCCATGCGAGTTCTGGACCGGCAATAGGAGCATTTCTTTTCGAAGGTGTTTTGTTTTGTTTTTTGGGTACACACTTGACAGTGCTCGGGGCTTACTCGTGGCTTTGTGCTCAGGGATCACTTCTAGAGGCGCTCAGGGGACCAAGTGGGATGCTGGTGGTGAGTGAATCCGGGTCCAGTGCACACAGGGTCTGTCTTACCCGCTGTTCTTGCTGTCCCTGATTTGGGTTTTTTGTACCACATCTGCAGTGCTGCTGGCTACTCGCAGCTGTTTGCTCTCATGGGACCGTTGGCTTCAGGGCTGGAACCCGAGCCACCCGCAGGCACAGCCTGGGCTCGGCCTGTTGAACAGTTTTCCCAGACAACAGGAATGTTTATTTTTTGTTGTTGTCTGTGTTTTGGGGCCACACCCTGCAGTGCTCAGGGGTTACTCTTGGTACCCCCTGGGTACCATATGGGAGGCCTGGGATGGGCAAGCGTCCCACATGCTGTACTGTCGTTCCGACTCCAGCAGGACCGTTTCTTTTATTTATTTATTTAGTGAATCACCGTGGGGTACACTTACAGACTTTGAAACTTCCGTGCTTGCATTTCAGTCATACACTGGTTGAGTACCCATCCCTCCACCAGTGCCCATTTTCTAGCACCAGTGGTCCCAGTATCCCTCCCCCCACCCCGCCTCTGTGGTAGGGCATTCCCTTTTGCTCTCTCTCCTTTTGGGTGTTGTGGTTTGCAATAGAGGTATTAAGTGGCCATCGTGTTTCGTCTATATTCTGCTTTGAGGGTGCGTCTCCCATCCCGAGCGGATCCTCCTAGCACCCTTTACTTGGTGGTCCCTTCTCTAACTGAGTTGCCTTTTCCCCCAGCATGTGAGCTTCTAAACAGTGGAGTGATCTTCCCAGTACTTATCTTTAATAATCTTGGGTGTTAGTCTCTCATTCCAATAGGACCATTTCTGAAAATACTACAGTCTCTGATAAAAAAAAAATTCTTTTCTTTTCTTTTTTTTTTTTAAAAAAAAAGGAAAAAAGAACTCCTGTTATCTGGGGAGTCTACTGAACACGCCGAGCACATACTTTGCAGGACAGGAATCTCAGCCAATTGAGTACTCTCTGGCCCAAGACATTGGGGCAGGGGGGTGGGGGGGTGGGGCCAAACCCTTCAGTGCTAAGGAGAACTGGACGTGATGCCGGGGGTTCACATTTGGGTTGGTCACTTGCATGGCAAACTGAATCCCGGTACAATCTCTCTGGCCCATGAAATTTTTATTTTTAAGCTCAGGGATATTAAATAAGTTAGGAGTTGGGGCTGGAGTGATAGTACAGTGGGTCGGGCACTTGCCTTGCTCATGGCTGACCCAGGTTCAATCCCTGGCATCCCATCTGCTCTCCCGAGCACTGCCAGGAGTAATTCTTATGAGTGCAGAGCCAAAAGTAACCTCCCGAGCATTATCGGGTGTAGCCCAAAAATAAACTTTTTTTTTTTTTAAAGTTATAGGAGAACATGTTCTCCTAGTTTGAATCTGGGACTTAATATGTGAGAGGCTTGTCCCTAACCTAAATTCAGACTGTGTCTTTTTACTCTTGGGTAGAGAAATGACCTGTTTGTGATAGCAGAGAGGTTGGGAGATGCAGGCGCTCAAGAGTCGTAGTGGCGCCAGGGAGCTCAGCACGCTGGCCTCTTCTCAGCTCTAGGTCGCTGGCCCTGGCCGCCTAGGGAGAAGGGAGCCCTTGAAAGGGACCGCACAACATGGGATGTGTGCAAAGTGTAACGTAAACCCCCCTGCCTGGGAACTGTCAGGTTGGTGAAGGTGGAGACGGAGACGCTCCCCTCAGCCACCCTCCCCCCCGCCCCCAATTCCCAAACCCCAACATGCTTGACCCACAGAAGCCAGAGATTCCCTTACCACTGACCTAGAGTGGGGTCAGCTGGAAGTAGATGTGCCCCTGGGGGGTGGTGAGTTCTGGATTTCCCCGGGTAGGCCTCTTAGAGGCCACGTTCTCGTGCCCTCTCTTTCCCGTTGCTTTGGTTCGGATGCCGCTTTCAGACAGAAGACTCTGCTTGTGGCCCTCTGGCCCCATTGAACTTGCTTTTGGCTGAGTCCCACAGAAGTCACACACCGAGACATGCCCACATGCCCTGCCCCAGAATGCCCCATTGTAGATGTGCTAGGAATTTGGAGAAGTCAGGCAGGTCCCCCTGGTTCTGGATTTTAAAGACAGTGGAAAGATGGGAAAATAAAATAGTGATTTGTTTTGGTTACATTGTTGAATGATTGAATTTTACTTTTTTTCTTTTATTAATGTACTTGGCTAGAAATTTTGAAGTTCCCTAAGTTGCCCTCTGTCTACGTCCTAGTCTGAACAACATTTCCTAGACTGACTTGTGAAATGCCTTTTGAAAAGGAGCATAACTTCTTTGCAATTATTTTAATGTTCTATGTGCTGTCCCTAAAATAATTCATAGCCACTGTTAAGCACGTATGACTAGCTATGAAATATGAAAAATTGAAATCTGGAAAAACTGAATTAAAATTTGTTGGTTTTAATTTTTAATCTTTAAATGGCCACATATCTAGAGTTTAATTGTTCTATTTTTAATTTTTTTATTTTATAAGGTAGCTCACAGTATTTGATTACATTTAATATTTAAACACCAATCCCACCACCATTACACCTTCCCACCACCAAATTTGGGGTGTTTCCATCCCAAGTCCCAATCCCTGTCCCAAAGCACAACCTAAGTAATATATTTTGTATCATCTATTATAGAAAGCCGCTAATAATGCTACAAAAAAGTATCCATAGAAAAGACAGTGTGAAAATTGTTCTATTTTGTCAGGGGCCTTTAAGACATTCTTTAGAATGTCACTAACAGGTTGTTAAAGTTTGGGTGATGGGAGCTTTTGTATATATATCTGAAACGATGTATATATGCATTTGTATATGTGTATTTCCCTCTGTGATTTGTGGCGTACTATTTGAACCCCATCAAGTGTGGTGTGGTATTTGTAGAGAATGGGTAGGGAGTGTCTTATGATGATGTGTCCGCATGGTATGGAATTGTTTTGATGTGGCCCTAAGACTTGTTTGCCATGTTGCAAATTTGTTAATGCAAGTCTATAAAGCTTGTGTTTATGAATCAAGATCTGAAAAAAATAATTTAACAATTACTGTGTACTTGTTATATAAACTGTCCTCCCATTGTTCATTGATTTGCTCAAGCGGGCCCAGTAACGTCTCCATTTTGCGACTTGTTGTTACTGTGTTTGGCATGTCCAGTATGTCACGGGTAGCTTGCCAGGCTTTGCTGCGCGGGCGAGATACTCTCGGCAGCTTGCCGGACTCTCCGAGAGGGGCAGAGGAATTGAACCCGGCTCGGCCGGGCTGGCTACACGCAGGATGGCCGAGTGGTGTGAGGCGCCAGACTCAAGTTCCTACTTGTTATATAACAGATGCTATATTTGCCAAAGAAGTGATTTATATAATAAATTGTTTACTGAGACTTTATTGTGAATTCCAAAGTACTCCAAGAGCTTATCATGTTCTCATCAGATTCTCATTTTCCTTTTCTCATGAGAGACTTGTTGTGAAAGTTTGGTTACTTTTGAAAAGTCTGAATAATGTGCTGCCTTAAAGAAAGTTTGTTTTCCTTGAAAGGGAAACCTGTGCTTTTTAACGGACAATTTATTTTCCGGTAAACTCTTGAAGTTTTGCCAAGAAGGGAAACACACCCGTTTACCCACAAACATAAGTGTTAATATTATGTACTATTTCGTTCCTTTGTGTGTGCAAAGACTTCTAAGTACTAGTGTCGAGCAGTGCCATTCATTACTTTTATTGTTCCTTCACAGAGAAGGACGAATGTCATCATGTCTGGAGTCAAGCGAACAATCAAAGAGACAGACCCTGATTATGAGGACATATCCGTGGACCTTCCGAACAAGCGGCACAAGGCCATCGAGAATTCAGGTAGAACCTCACCTGTCTTAGGAAATCATGCACTACTGTGTCCACAAGCAGCTCTGTGTAAGGGGCACGAAAATGCCATGCCTTTCTGTTGTGTACAGTCTGCTGGGTCTGTGACGGGGCTGTGCTCTGCGCCTCGTTGAACGTCCATCCACCATGTGTGGCACCAGAGGCCGAGCCTTGCGTGGACAGTAAAAGTGTCCCGGTGAGACAGACCCCAGGTTCAGCCCTCATTGGTTTGTCCTGAGTAGTGGCAGAGCCTGGTGCCCGCTGCAGTGTGGGATCATGTGTGAAGATGACAGGTGGGGCAAGATGAAAGCTTTAGCCTCTAATAGTCATCTGTTACTTTAATGTGGATCATTGGGGGTGGGGGGGGGCGGTCACCAGGCTTGTAGTTTCATGACCTCAGGATGAGGTTTCAAGTTCTTAAAATGCTACTTAATTGCGTTAATTAGATGTTTCACACAGTTCTCAGACATGGTGAGTTTCTTGAAGGTGGTCTATGAATCATGAAAATTGGGGAAACATTGATTCTTTTAACCACAGGACTTTCAGCAGCTGGTGGTTAAGGCTCAGAGGCGTTCAGTTGTTCAGTTACGTGCCCACGGGGACAGAGGGCACATGCCTTGGGGTCAGCTCTGGTTCCGTCCCCAGCGCCTCTGTGGGGAGCAGCCACTCAGTATGCAGCCACCCAGTACCGAGCCAGGAGTCACCCTAAGCACTGCAGGGTGTGGCTCCGAGCTCCCCACCCCACCCCCACGCCCCAGGGAGTGAATGCATTGCAAGTACAGATCAGTGATCAAAATAAGGACATTTCAGCGTTTGTACTTTGTAATCTGTCATCCATACTCCAGTTTTACCGGTTGTTCCTGTGTCGATTTTTATGGCTCTTTCCCCCTTTCTTAAGCTGTGAGCCGGGCGAGATCCCAGGGGACATGCAGTTGTCGCTGCTCTTCGGTCTCTTTCTTGTTTGTGTATGTGTTTGTCTGTTGGGGTGCGGGGGCCCACCCAGCAGTGCTCGGGACTCCTGGCTCTTGCTCAGGGGCCACACCTGCCAGTGCTTGGGGGCGTCTGGTGCCAGGATTCAAACCAGTGCTGTGGTAGCAGCCCCATGCAAGACTAGTGCCAACCTCTGTGTTGTCTCTCCAGCCCCTCTCTGTTCTACTTTAATCGCCTTGATCTTTGATTACTTTATTTAAAGGGGGGGGCATGGCTGGAGAGCTAGTACAGCCGATAGGGTGCTTGCCTTGGCATGTGACTGACCTGGGTTCGACCCCTGGCATCTCATATGGTCCTCCAAAACACAAAGAGTGATTCCTGAGTGCGAGCCAGGAGTAACCCCTGAGCGTTGCCTGCTGTGGCTCCCCAAACGAAAACAAACAAAAAAATTTGGGGGCATACCCTGCAGTGTTGGAGGTTCCACCTTACTGTGCTCAGGGGATTATTGTATGGTGCTGGGGATCCAACCTGGGCTTTCTGTAGGGCAGACAAGCATTCCAGCCATCGAACTCTCTCCCTAAGCCCCGTTTCCTTTTTGTGTCTTTGGAGGGGACACTACCCTGCACTGTTGAGGGGTTCCACACGTCCCCATGCTGAGGGCTTGCTCTCTTGGAGGTGCCAGTGATGGAACCGGGGCCTTCTGCATGCAGAGCATTTGTCTAGGCCATTGAGATGTCTCTGTGACCCCTCCTTGACCTTTCTTTGTCTTTCATCACCTCAATATTTCAGTAGCACGCCAGTTATTTTACAGACTCCCCTGGAGTTTAGGTCCGCCTGATGTTCCCAGTGATGAGACTCCGCATTTTCCCCCCCAGGAATGACAGGATATTGCGGTCTTCTCAAATACCAGAAAACACTTGAAATCGATTTGCCGCATTATTAGTGAAGTGAGCTTTTACCCGAGGGTAGTTGATGATAGCTAAGTTTCTCCGTTTACATGCTGCTCCCTGAGTTTTCTTCTTTGCTGTCATTGACTCAAGACAGCCACTCATTAATTAGGCCTTGTATTAAAGATAATACATAAAAAAATGTTCTTTGTGTAGCTCGAGATGCTGCTGTCCAAAAGATTGAGACTATTATCAAGGAACAGTTTGCACTTGAAATGAAGAATAAAGAACATGAAATTGAAGTCATTGATCAGGTATAATGATTTTATTTTTTTGGGTTTGTTTTGTTTTTGGGCCACACCTGGCAGTGCTCAGGACTTAACTCCTGGCCAGCTTGGGGGACCAAATGGGGTGCTGGGGATTGGCTACATGCAAGGCAAGCGCCCTTCCCGCTCTACTATCACTCTGGCCCCAATCATAATTTACCATCACGCCTTTGTGTGTGTGTGTGTGTGTGTGTGTGTGTGTGTGTTGTGTTGTGTGTGTGTGTGCGCGCACACGCACGCGCTCATGCACCTCTCCATTTTTAGATATGAAGCAAAAGACTATTTCCCCCTTTAAGTGAAATTGCAGAAAAAGGAGGAAGGGGGGAGCTGTATCTTTCACCTAAAATTTCATCTCAGGAAAAAAAAAATCTTTTTTTGCTGTTGTGTTCAATCTCTTTGTGACTATTTCTCATAGAACATGTATATCTGTTGGAAAAGGTACCTTTCTACATATTTTTGCCAATCTGATCTGAGATATTGGTTTTTATTTGTTCTGGTTTAGGGCCTTCATCCATTAGTGCTCAGGGGCTATTCCCAGCTCTGTGCTCCTAGTACCCTCCCAGAGATGCTCTTGAGACAGTTTTAGGTGGTGCTGGAGATCCAGTTGGGCCCCTGCATGCAGCATGGCCTGGCCTATTGATCTACATCTCTCCGACCCCCTCCTAGAATTTTTTTCTTCCCAGTAGTGCTCCTACTGTGCATCAGTGCTGTGGAGCGAGCCAGGCGTGGCTGCATTAAAGGCCAGTGCCATAAGCTCTGTACTGTCTCTCGAGCCCAGTTTTTATGTGTCTTCTTCTGCTTATTTGAGAAGTTGAAATCTGTTTGTCACTTGCATTTCTTTTTTTTTTTTTTGTGGGTTGTATGTTCCCCCTTTGTTAAAAATTTTTATTTTTAACAACGAGTAAATATTTGTTTTTAGCGGCTGATTGAGGCAAGAAGGATGATGGATAAACTTCGTGCCTGCATTGTTGCAAACTACTATGCTTCTGCTGGGCTTCTAAAAGTTTCTGAGGTAAGTTTTTCTTGCACATTCACTTCTGGGGTCACTCGTACATGTCGGGGGGTGGGGGGAGATGAATGTTGGGTAAACTTAACTGTGTGCAGCCGTATCTTTCCATGTTACTTTCTTATATTGCCCATAAGCCCAAGTAGTCTTTCCCCTTTTTGGTGAGAGGAGGCAGGGTTCTCGCCCAGCTAGGCTCAGAGGTTACTCCTGGTGGTGCTCAGGGAACCATAATGTGGTGTAGGGGATTGAGCCCATGTCAGCCACTTGCACGGCAGCTCCTTAACTGCTGTACTATCTCTTTGACTCAAATAATACAGTACATTTTTATTTTACTTAACTTGGATGGGGTGCTTATTGTGCTGCAACCAGCTAAGCAGAGCACTTAATCCTGGCAGTGTTTGGGAACCATGAGCAGTGCCAGGGACTGAACCAGAGTTGGCCATGTGCCAGGCAAGAAATTTAACCACTATACTGCCTCTCTAGCCCCACTTTTTTCCTCTTTGATTAGTCCTCCAGTCAGTTGTTCGCTCTATAGCTCAGCCTTGCAGATGTAAAGATAAGGGTGAGCCCCTGTTCTCATTTGTCCTATTCCTCTTCATTTGATTGCAGTTGGCTCTGAATTCATTCATTTCCCAGTTGCTTTCCCTCTGCCCTTTCCTTTTAGAGACAGGTATGGAAGTATCCAATGTTTACAGCCTTCTTAGTGAATTTTCATTTGCACGGTGTTTTTTGGCCAGGTAAACAGCGAAAGAGCCTGGGAGGTTCCTTGTTCCTTGGGCCAGGCAGCTTTGCTGAGGCTGGGACCCACGTATGTTCCTGACAGAATCCTGAAGCCCACTTTGTGGATACGCTTGTGAATGTTGATGGTGTTTTGCCCCCCCCCCCCCCCCCCCCCCCCCCCCCCCGCTGACGGCAGAACTTTCTTTATCTCACCGTCCTTCTTAGCAGGATCCATTCTCTGGGCCCTAAGATGAGGAAAGATAAAAGCTACACATGTATTTAGCCTGAAAAAATTCAAATACAGAGACAAGGTTATTGTAATCTCATTTCATCTAGAGTGGTCCTCGTCTGTCTGGCCCGGCCCGGCCCCCGGTAATGTTGACTTACTTGAGGAGATTGAGGCTTCATCTTGTAGACTCTTCCTCATTATCGTTTTCTGTATTTGCTTAGGCAATCCTTCCTTCCCTCTATTTTCCTACAAACTGCTGGTTGGGCCTAGAAATATGATTAGATTGTTTGTCTTTCTAAGAGTCCCACATGTGCAAAGCATCTGCCCCGTCTTTCATGTTGTCTCCCCAGACTGTGAGATGTAATTTTAAGTTGTCTCCTATTTGCCGTGTTACTGTTTATCTGTATCTTCCATTTTACCTGCAGAAGGTTTTACATCTTTAGATGTTGGTGTTATGACTGTATATTCAGTGCTCTGTAACTTTTCCTTGGAGTGCTGACAATGTCAAGGAGTTCAGACTTCATTTTATGAGTGAGGTTAGTTGAAGGATTTAAGCAAGATCCTAAAATAGACAATGATTTGGGAAGGATCAAACATGTGTTTTCTCCTTTGGGTGGATATGATTCAGAGTTTGTTGTGCTTGCTTTCATTTCTGCAGGGATCAAAGACCTATGACACAATGGTTTTTAATCATCCTGCTATCAAGAAGTTTTTGGAATCCCCATCTAGGTCATCATCTCCAGCCAATCAGAGATCAGAAACTCCGTCTGCCAATCACTCAGAAAGCGATTCTCTGTCTCAGCACAATGACTTCTTATCTGACAAAGACAACAGCAGCAGTTTGGATATTGAAGAAAGACTCTCCAACAACATGGAGCAGAGATCCAGCCGAAACCCTGGAAGGGTATAGTTGACTGGGAGGGAGGGAGCCAAAGAGGCAGGGAAATCCGCATTACAGCGTGCACACACTATTTCCTGTAGCCTCCATAGGAACCCTAGAAAATAAGTTATCATTTGTATTCAGAAATGAGGAAACTGAGTCTCCACGAAGTGAAAGCTTTGTTTGTCCGAAAGTACTAGGATTAAGAATTAGAAGTAGGACTTTCTAATTCCAGCTTCCCGTAATTGGCACCAGCCCTCGGTGCCATTCATGTAGATCTGAATGAAACCCGCAGGAGTTGGCAGAGCTGCGAGCTGGCCAAGCTCTGGCCTCACTCATGTTTGTTCTTTGAAGAGCAATGGTTCTCCAGTTTACTCTGGAACTTACAAGATGCTGTAATAACTGCTGGAAATTTGGCTAGTAGTAAGTAGGACTGAAAACCATCTGTTGCTTGCTCTGCCAATTTGATTTTCAAGTTTTCATTGCAAGTGGTTTGGATTTCTTGGGAATCCTTATGGGATTAGACTGATGGTTTTGCTGAGCCCAGTGTTCTGACGAAGGAGCTTTCCAGGTTGGTTTCCACATTTAGGGATATGATTTTTTCCCTGATTTTTAAAAGTATAGAATGACTCTGGTTATAAATGTTTGTTGAAAATTGTAGGATATGAAAAACATAAAGAACATAAAGGTATGTTTTTATAGCTATACCTGCCTATTACAAAAACAGAAAAACATAAAGAACAGAAACAGAAAAACTATGATTGCCACAATCATAGTGCCAACATCAGACCTCTTGTTTTTTTGTTTTGTTTTGCTGCTTTTTGGTGTCTGAACCATACCTGGTATACAAGGGTTACTCCTGGTTCAGTGCTTGGAAATCACTTCCAGTGGTGGTGGGAGAACCATGTGGATTGTTGTGATATCAGGGCTAAAATCTGGGTCTTCCGCATGGGTTGCATGTCCTTCAGCCTGTTGAACTCATCTTCAGCCCTGTTTGTGTGTTTGGGTTTTTCAGTGCCCACATACTCCTCGATCCGTGCTTAGGGATCACTCTTGGCAGGCTCTGGGGACCATAAGGGATGCTGGGGATTGAACCTACATTGGCTGCGTACAAGGCATTGGCTGCGTGGCTGCGTACAAGGCATTGGCTGCGTGCCCTACCTGCTGTACTCCAGCCCCAGTTTATTTATTTGTTTTTTAGGAAAGCAGTTTGTCATTAGTGGTAAGATTTAGAAACTTACCCGCTCTTACATAGTATACACGCTCATTTTATGTCACAAATGGTGCTAGTTATGTACCAAGCACTACTCTAAGAGTTTTTCAGAGCGACAGCACGTATCAGCGGATAGGTATAATAATCGTACTGACTTAAATAGGTGAAGAAATAGTTGCCCATTTGGGATACAGTGTACATCTACATGGGAAAAGCAAGATATGAGCCATGATACTCTGTCTTAATAATAAAAATTTAAATTAGCTATTGTGATTGTATTACTTCTCATTGGGAAATTTTTATTAGTATAGAAGAGAATAAAGGGGGCTGTTAACTACCTCCTACAAGTTACACACTCACACTTCTAGTGTACAACTTTGATATAAAAATGAGTAAAAAATACTTGCATTCGAGAGGTGCACAGAGTCATGAATTGGGTAATAAAACCAAAGGGGAAGAAAATAGGATTATTTTACTTTTTACCTTGAATGATTTTTGTGGTTTCTCATGACTGGGCATTTTCCAAATTGAAAATGAAAATTGATGACGATGATGATGATTTCTTTCAGGACCCTTCTAGTATTCCTGGCTCCCATAAGACAGAGCAGCGAAATGCTGATCTCACAGGAGATGAGACTTCACGACTTTTTATAAAGAAAACAATAGTAGTGGGCAATGTGTCCAAGTGAGTACCCTGTTGAATTGTCTCATTTTCAGCCAACCATTTATGTTCATACTCTGGCATATATTCTTACTAAGCTTGTGAATATTTCCATTAAAATTCTAGTGGGAGGGGGTGCGGATCTGCCTTGTAGCACTGGTCCTACGTGTGTGAAAGCCCTGGTGCAATTGCCGGCATCACCAGGAAATTAAGTAAAGTCCTAATGGACTGCATGAAATTTCAGACTAGTTTCTATGTTGAAAAGAGCAGCAGAGGCAGAAATGGATAAGTACCAGGTTAGGTAACTCCGTTACTGTGGAAAACACAGTGAAAACATAGATAAATGTACAGGAGGCCATGGTCATATTTTCCATCAGAATGCAGTAAGGGTGCTACCTCATGAAATAAAGCGACAGCCTGCGGATGGGAAGGCCAGAGATGCTGCTTTTGTCACGGTTGGGACTTCAGGGACTGTGAACCTGAGTCATCCTCGTGCGAGGCCAGGGCCTTATCTCCTCTTCTCTCCACTAGGTCTCTGGCTTCTAGAGGTTCTTTAGCCCACAAATAAATGATGCCAGTTTACTTCCACATGTATAGACTGGTTGGGAAAAACAAGATTTTTATTTATTTGTTTATTCTTCTATTGCATGCGAGTTGGAAAGCAAAAATATATGTGCGTGCGTGGTGTGTGTGTGTGTGTGTGTGTGTGTGTGTGTGTGTGTGTTGCTGGAAATCAAATCCAGCGTCTCACACAAACACAGGCTATACCACGAAGCTTCATTCCCTGTGTGTGTGTGTGTCTGTGTGTCTGACTGACTGTGTTGCTGGGGATCAAACCCAGGGTCTCACAGAAACACAGGCTGTACCACAGAGCTACATTCCCAGCGCTGAAAGCAAAGCAAGCTTAATCCTTGGATCTTAACCCCTTTACTTACCTCCTTGCTACTCCTTATGCTAACGACACATTGTAGGAATGAGAAAAGGGCTAACTACAAAGACTGTGGTTAAGCCAGACAGCTATTATTAATATTGCTGGGATTTCCATCTTGTTCCCTTTAATTGTCTTGAAGAGTAATTGACACAACAAGAAGATGTTTAAAGTAAATCTGATAATTGCTGTGTGAAAATACTCTTCCCCGCTAGTTCATTAACACGTGTCACATCAGTATTCTGTGAGGACATTGAACATTTCTCAGTAAGGATCAGTTAGGTGACAGTGTTCTTGCTGTAGTCACCATACCATGATTTTGTTTTCCTTTGCGGGGGGACCTCCCCAGTGGTACTTGGGACCACCAGGGCTGCACTCTGTTTCACAGGCCCGCCGAGGCCTTGCTCGCAGCTGAGAAAGTGGAAGCTTGCTTGCTAACCTCCCTGCTCCTTAGCAACTGCTTCTCTCTTCTTTTCCTCTGAACTTGATCTTTTTGTTTCAATTTCACAGATACGTGATGCTGTTTTTAGGATTGGTCTTATTTCATTCTTTCACGAGAATATTCGGACACACACACTCACATGCTCACACGGGATCTGTTATGCGGAGGGACCCACACCAGAGTTGGGTGCTTTGCCCGCACTTTAACCCCTTTATCTACCTCCTTGCCCTCCCACCTTTTTTTTTTTCAAATCATTCAACCTTTGTCTACATGGAGGTCGTTTCCATATCTGGGTTATTGTGAAGTTGCATTGAATGTGGGAGTGCAGCTGATTTTTCGAAGTCCTTTTTTTCCTTTTAATTTGAGTGTATTCGCATAAAATAGGCTGTTCTTTGCTCTTTCATGGCGCCATCTTCAGTTTCTCCTCCTCATGACTGCGCGACTTACATTGCCACCAAGAGTATGAGCACAAGGGTTTCATTTTCTCCATAGCTGTGCAAACACTTGTTATCGCTTGTATTTTAAGTGGTAGCGACTCTGATAGGTATGAGGCAATCACGCATTTGGTTTTGATGTGCATTTTCCTGATGATTAGTGATGGTAAGTTCGTTTCAAGTTTCCATTCAAGAAACCATTTCGAGTTTCCCTTTGGAAAAAACGATTTAAGTATTGAGTTTTCTGCCCATCTTCTAATCAAATTTATCATTTTTATTGTTTTTTTGTTTGTTTGTTTGCTTGGTTGGTTGGTTTTTGGTTCATATTTGGTGATGCTCAGGGCTTGCTCCTGGCTCTAGCCCTATGCTCAGGGCTCACTTCTGGAGGCTTGGAAAACCACATGGGGTGTGGGGGAGATTAAACTTGGGCTGCCTCCTCTTTTTTAATTTTTTTTACGTTTTGTGATTTTTTAAAAATATTTTTCCTATTTTTTTTAAAGCACCATGGTTTACAAAGTTATTCATAATTGAGCTTTAGACATAAAATGTTCCAGCACAACTCCCAGCAACATTGTCATCTTCCCTCCAACAGTGTTTCCAGGTTCCTTCCCTGCCCCCTCTGCCTATCCACATCCTGCCCTCCTGACAGGCATCTGTTTTTTTGTTGTTAAAGTTTGGGTATCATGATTTCAGTGCCATTGACTCTCTGGTTTGCATTCATATCTCTGTCATTTCTAACATCACTTACATACCTGAAGTCCCTTAATTCCTGCCCCCCATTGTTCTCTCCTGTTTCTTCTCACCCACCCTCACCCTTGCTGCCTTTCGTTCTACTTGGTATACTCCAGGGTCAAGGCTGATTCCCTTTTAAACATTGCAGTCCCTCATCCAGTTATTCAAAATACCACACATATAAGTAATATCGTTCAGTATTTATCCTCCTTCTGACTTACTTCATTTAACATGATATCTTCCAGTTCAATCCATGATGCATCAAAGTGCTTGATTCCATCATTCCGTACAGTTGTGTAGAATTCTGTTGTGTACATATACCATTATGATCCACTTAAATGTCCTTCAACATCTAGGTTGATTCAAAATCTCAGCTATTGTACTGAGTGCTGCTCTGAATAATAGTACGCATATACCCTTTGAATGAAGATTTTTCTCTTCTTCCTTGGGGTAGATACCACAAATGGAATTCCTGTGTCAGATGGGATCTCAATTTTAAGAACCTTACATATTTTTTTCCATAGGAATTGAATCAGACGACATTCCCTCCAGCAGTGAATGAAGAGTTCCTTTTTGCCACATTCCCACCAACATAGATTGTTCCCAGAATTTTTCATATGTGCCATTTTCACTGGTCTAAGATGATAGCTCACTGTCTTCTTGATTGGAATTTCCCTAATGATAAGTAATGATGAGAATTTTTTTCATGTGCCTGTTTGCTGGGCTGCCTCTTGTGCAAGCTAACTTGCTAGACTCTTTCTCCGGCCTCTGTTTATTGGTCAGACTCTGATTTGCAAATGTTTTCTCCCATTTTGTAGATTGCTTTTTTATTTTGTTGTCATGGAAGCTTTTTGGTTTGATGAGGGCCGTTTGTTAATTTTTGCTTTTATTGCTTCTGCGTCAACTAAAAAAAAAAAATCACTGCCAAGACTGAGGTGAAGGAGCTTTCCCACCTGTGCTTTCTTCTAAGAGTTTGATGGCTGTAACGTAGACTCTTTCACTTATTTTGAGTCGATTTTTGTGTATGATGTCCATTGGAGTCCAGTTTTATTTATCTTTGGGAGTTTGAGGTCATGCCTGACAGCTCAGGATTCCCACCCAAAAGTGCTCAGGAGCCCTCTTGATGCAGGGATCAGACATGGGGTGCTCTCATGCGAAGCCAGTGCTCCATCCCTTTGAGCTGTTTTCCAAGTCCCCAGTTTCATTCTTTTTTATGTGTTCAATTTTCCCAGTACCATTTATTGAAGATAATAGACTTTCTCCCTGAAAAAGTGTCCTAGCTCTTTTTTGGAATAAGTTAATTGACCATATCCACGTAGGTTTATTTCTGTACTTCCTGTTCTGTTCCTTGGCAAAATTGTTTTATTTGTAGGCCAGTTCCATCCTGGTTTTTTATTGCTGTCGTTTGTAATACAGTTTGAAATCAGGAAATGTGTTGCCTCCAACTTAGTTATTAAGATTGTTTTGAATATTCAGTGTCTTTGGGGGCCTCATACCCATTTCAGTGATTGATTGTTTTACTTCTGTGAAGAACTGCTATTGGGATTTTGGTTTTATTGTTGTCATTAACTTTGCAGGGAATCAAACCCACACGCAGGGCACAAACACCCACCCTCCCACTGAGACATATCCTGACTGTTGTGGGAATTTGGATCGAGCTTATGTTGCATCTCTAGGTGCCTTTCGGGCTGTGAGGTTATCTTAACTGTGTTGATTGATTCTCCTGGCCCATAAGCACAGGGTAATTTACACTTATTTCTTAGTTTTCACTGCACAGATTTTCCACCTTGATTATGTATTCCTAAGAGGTTCTGTGTTTTGTTTTGCGGTGCTGGGGATCAAGATTTTTTTTTTCCTCTCTTCCAGGTACATACCTCCTGATAAGAGAGAAGAAAATGACCAGTCAACTCATAAGTGGATGGTATATGTTCGAGGATCTCGTAGAGAACCCAGCATCAATCATTTTGTCAAGAAAGTTTGGTTCTTCCTTCATCCCAGCTATAAACCAAATGACCTCGTGGAAGTTAGGTAAGCACACCTGAATTATTTAACCTCAGAAGCTCAGAATTATGAAAATGGAGGAAGAGTGATTTGATTTTTGAATCCTTCCTTTAAAATCCTGTGTTGTTATTAATGAACTCAGCTGTGGCTTCGAAGGAGTTGGGGCAGCAGATAGGGAATTTGTCTTGTCTGCAGTGTCCTGGATTCTATCCCTAGAACTCTATTGTGGTCCCCTGAGTATGCCAAGAATGATCCCTGAGTACAGAGCCAGAAGTGAACCCTGAGCACCACCAGGTGTGCCCTGCACCCCCCCCCCAAATATTTTAAAGTTAAAAAAAAGTTTATTTTGTTTTGTTTTATGATATGAGGCTCTAAAGATTGAAATAGGAAATTAGAACTACAGGAATAATGTGGGGAATTTTTGTGATCTCTTTCTGAAATAGCCTCTATATTTTTCCTACATTTGCTTCCAGTTTTAGTAGCGTTTTTGTTAATTTCTCCTGGCTCTGCACTCAAGAATCGCTTCGGGGGGTGCTCAGGGGACCATATGGGGTGCCAGGGATTGAACCTGTGTCAACCCCATGCAAGTCAAGTGCCTTACCCTCCACACTATTGCTCTGGCTTTCCCAATTGCTTTCCTGTCTCTAGAGAAAACCACTTCCAGAGTACCCTGTTTTCCTTTGACACTCCATGTGCATGGGGCCTTGGTGCAGGTATTTTTCTTGCCTACAACTGTGGCTTTCAGAGCACCTTTCCTTGCGTCAGCTCTCTAAGCTTCAGACCGCTGCTGCTTCTCCTTATAGGCACACCAGTTTCCCTATCGCTGGAAACAGCTTTAACACCTAATTTCTGAAACTTCTCAGTCAGTACTCTTGCCTTCATTCTTAAAAACTCTGGCACACATAAAGACAATTTATCCAGAACCCTAATCTCCCTGTACATTCTTTTTGTTTTTATTTTTGGGTCACACCCAGCTCATGCCTGGGTCTGCACTCAGGGATAACTCCTGTTGGATCTCAGGGGCCATATGGGGATTGAACCAGTTGGACGCATACAAGGCAAACCACTTGCCTGCTGTACTAGTTCTCCGTTCATTTATTTCCTTTTTTGGGTCACACCCGGGAATTGCACAGGGGTTACTTCTGGCTCTGCACTTAGGAATTAATCCTGGCAGTGCTCGGGGGACCATATGGGATGCTGGGAATCGAACTCGGGTCGGCCGCGTGCAAGGCAAACGCCCTACCCGCTGTGCTATCACTCCAGCCCCTCCTCATGTAAATCTTGACGTCAGTTACGAGAGATCATAGAACTCAAGCTGCGAAAGGAGAGAAGGAAGTAAACATGAGAACAGTGTTGAGTAATAGAAACTCATGTAATCAAGAAATGCAAATCCTGCTGGGGTTGTAGACCAGCTGGATCAGGGATGGGGCTGGAATACTTGAAATTGAGATTTAAATTTAAAAAAAAAACACTTTCCTCTTCTGTTCCCTCACTTCTGCTGTTGTCCTGATCTGCAGTCTCCTGGGTAGCTGGTGCTTGCTCTCGGTCACAGTGCTGGGTTGTGATGCTTGCACAAGTTCTTGCTATGGCCACTCTTGGTAGCCCTGGTGCTCAGGCGTGTCTTGGTTGTGGTACCCTGGGTTAATTTTGAGGCTCTTTTCCATCTTCTGCTGTTATCTGGAGATTCTCGGCGCCTTGTCTTGGAGCTCACTGATTCTGTCCTCAGCAGCTGTTGCTTTGTTGCTGAGAGGCCTTCCAGCTTCTTTATTTCACCTATCAGGTTTTTCAGATCTGCCATTTCTGCTGTGTTTTCCTCCTTTCTGCTCTCATATCCTCTTGTGTTTTATTGGCAGTGCGTGCCGTTGTTTCTTTGAGCTGCTTAACAGTTCCATTCTGAATTCCTTATCAGAGAGGTTGTATGGCGCAGGATAGTCTTCACTCCCTAAGCCTGGTGTTTCTGTGTGGCTTTACCATTGTAACCTTTGCGGTTTGCAGTGGTGGTGTATGGCGAGGAACCTACAGTTGGGATTTTCCCGGCGTGTGATGGAGAAATGAAGGAAAGCCGCACCGCAGGGCCAGGCAGAGCAGCTGCACTGTTTGCAGGGGTGCTCCTGAGTTTGACCCAAGGCCCCCCATGCCTGCTCTTTCTTTAGTTCTCAGGCACCACCATCGCTGGGCTCGGTGGAGCCAGACTGGGTGGGCTACAGCCCATTCCTCTTCACAGGTGGGTTCGGTCCTGACCCGAGGGGCAGAGAACTGGCGCCCTGAGATCAGTCCAGAGACCTCGACACCAGACTGCCTGGCCTTTCTTTTGGTTGTGGTGCCCTGGGAATTGCACACCGGCCAGGGCTTGAGTCTTCGCTCCCTCACTTGGCGTTTCGTCGACCCCGGCGCCTGTCTCAGTGAAGTGTTTTGTAGTGCGGCTGTGGAGCCGAGACGGGGCATGGCGGGACTGACTTTACCCGGGGCTCAGGGGCTGCCCCACAGCAAACAGTGTGTTTTGCTGCTGCAGAGCAACACACCGTGTCTGTCTGGGCTGGGAGGATGACTAGCTGGGGGTATGTAGGTTTTTTTTGTTTTGTTTTCTTAATGTTTTATTAGTGAATCACCGTGAGGTACAGTTACGGACTTACAAACTTCCGTGCTTGCCCACAATTCCCGGAGAATTCTCCAGGCCCCATACCAAGCTGTTATCACCAGGAGGTCCCAGATGGGGTAGATGCTGTCTCCCCGCCTTCTCCAGATGAAATCCCAGCAACCATGAGCTTCTACAAGCATGGCTCTGGCATGCGGGCACCAGGACTATTCTTCCGAACCGCATGGGGACCTTTCCTGATGTGCAAAGTGAGCAATGGAAAGTAAATGATCTAGCGTCTGTCCCTGGAAGTCAGGCTTGAATGGTGGTGGGAAAATTTGAGCAAAATATAATGCCCAACCCAAATGCATCTGGACTGTGCACTAAACTACGGTGCTAAGCCACCCTGGAAGGGGAAGGGAGCTTGTCCCTCTGCCTGTCCCACCTTGCGTTGGTGGCATGGTGGCCTCCATCTTTTAGAGCCTAATGGACAGCCAGGTATGAGACTGCATTGACGAGGCACATGGGGCCTCGTGGAATAGGGGGTTGAACCAGCCCTGCTCCCTGCCCTAACAAGGCCCCGGGTTGCCACCCACAAATGCCTCCTCCAGCTCTGGAACGACCATGATCCCAGTGGCACACAAACCAATCTTAGGACCCAGGGGCTTTTGGCAATAATCCCTCTAGGCTTATTACTAAAATATCAGAAATCCAAATTCGTGTGGCTGCTATTGTGGCCACATGACATCATATGCTCTTCATAATCAGCAATAGAAAACAAATTATCTAATGATGTCTTTTTGGCAGGTCTGAATGTTGGGGAAAATTCCAAATAATGATGGTGGGTCTTTTGTCGTAACATTGAATGTGATCAACGTAGACAGAGAGTAAAGTGGAAATCTGCCACACAGGTGGGGGGAGGGGGGTATATTGGGGTTCTTGGTGGTGGAAAATGTGCACTGATGGAGGGACGGGTATTTGATCATTGTATGACTGACCGACTTAAACTGAAAGGCTTTGTGACTGTTCTCACAATGATTCAATAAATAAAACTTAAAAAAAAAAACTTTCGTGCTTGCGTTTTAGTCATACAGTGATAGAGTACCCATCCCTCCACCAGTGCCCGCCATTTTCCACCACCAGTGGTGGAAAGGTAGAGGGCAACCAAAGGTGATACAGCTGGAGTTAAATTTTTTTTTTTTTCCTTTTTGGTCACACCTGGCGATGCACAGGGGTTACTCCTGGCTCATGCACATAGGAATTGCTCCTGGCAGTGCTCGGGGGACCATATGGGATGCTGAGAATTGAACCCAGGTCGGCTGCGTGCAAGGCAAACACCCTACCCGCTGTGCTATCACTCCAGCCCCTGGAGTTAAATTTTTAACTGAACGGTGACTTTGTGATCTGAGCCATCTCTGCAGCTTGTTGCTCTCTTTCGAGATTTATTTGTGAGTCTCTGGATCATGGCCATTAATGAGCTTATCTGGCGCCAGAGGCAGGCAGTTTGTGAGCGTGACCTCCAGGCTCCCGGAAAAATGGGAATCGGAGGAGTCCACACATCCCCAACTCCACGAGATCCTGGAGATTTCAGTCACAAAACCCGCATACCTGCGTTTTTCTACAGATTCCCTCAAGGATGAGTCTCATCCAAGCCTGTGGCCATAAGCAAGGCAGCCATTGGGTTCTGGAGGTTTCAGCCCCCGGGGCTCAGTTAGGGCAGACGGGGACTCATCTGTCCCCTTCAAAATGACATTTTAAAGGCCTTCTAGAACATGCTTTTTCATTTTTGGGTCACTGACAAGCTTTCCCTTGTCTGGGGACTCTAGAGGTCTCTTTGAGGAGCGGGCTGCCAGGCGGCTCAGTGGCCCAGTATTTTCATGAGCATATCATTTGAAGAGTAACATTTGGGTCAGTGATGTGTTGTCTTTTCTTGCTTCTTAAAAATGTGGCTGTCGAGGAATTTCCCATTGCAAACTTGGTTCCTTTTGCAGGCCTCTGTGCTCTGGGTCGCCTCTAGCCTGCCTTTCTCTGTGTGCATAAGGACGGAGCCTCGGCACATCTGGAGCCTCCGAACACAGCTGATGTGCTGTGTCTTGTAGCACTGTCCTCCCATTGTTCTTCGATTTGCTCGAGCGGACGCAGTAACGTCTCCATTGTGAGACTTGTTGTTACTGTATTTGGCATATCGAATACGCCACAGGTAGCTTGCCAGGTTCTGCCATGTGGGCAGAATACTCTCCGTAGTTTGCTGGGCTCTCCAAGAGGGTCAGAGGCATCGAACCTGGGTCGGCCACCGTGCAAGGCAAACGCTCTACCCGCTGTGCTATCGCTTCAGCCTACTAGTGCTGCATCCTACTGGGAGAAATTCATGCAGCACACAAACCTTGTCATTGATGCATACCAGAAAATTGATTTAGGCCTTCTGCTTTAAAAGAACCAAAATGGGGCCGGA